CGCTTCTGCTCCGCGGTTCACGTATTCGCGTGTGCGTAGTCCGGATGAGCATAGCTGGAATCGACAGCACCTCGCAGCCCCGCCGCCACTGCTCAAGTACAATTATAAGCGTTCCTCGGATTCCGGGCAAACATCGACGCTTTTTCCGTCGGCTGCACTGCTAGCAAAATCGCCGAGCGGTGCGTGTTTCTACAGGCCGGCCGATGGAGTACTGGCATCCTAATGAGCAAATCAAGCAGATTATTTTCATTTTTATTATTGTACATTTTCTCAGTAGTATTGTAATTTAATTTTCTTTGCTTTCAAATATCACACTCTGGCAACTGACTGTGTTCTCGTCCAGAAGGCTAAGTAACCATCGTGGCGACAATCAGTCTCTCTTCGACTAGTTCATTCGTTTTGGTGATTTATGGCCAATTTTACTTCTTGACGTATGTTAGGGAATCAAACCCGCCACAACAGCTTGCTTCTAAACGGTCTTCGAAAGAGGAACTATTGACAGTCTTGCCAATGCGTGATTATTACTGGTACATGAAATCACCAAGCTATTTAAGGCTATTTCTGTCTGTGCGGAGAAAGTTTTGATCTTTGACCGAATTTTTTGATTTTAACTAGCAAATGTATAAAAATTTCTGTTTAAGATAACTTTTTGGGCAGTTGCCGTGCCGGAAATCGATAACAGTAAGATTTCGATAATTTATGAATTCGTCATATGCATTTTTTTTTTCAAAGCTCAACCTTATTTTGTTTTGTCATGAGAAAAAGCTAGCGTAACGCATTCTACGCTTTGATTTTGATTTCCTTACAGAAATCTGATATCGCGTAGTAGCATAATACATTAAATAGTGATTAATGGTTTTTGTTAAAAATAAAGACCAACTGCGTTACTGTGACGCAGTACCCCTGTCCCTGGTTCAAACCTTAATCGCCCTACCCTCACTGAACTTTCGATCTTTTTCCCCTGGGGTATAAAAGCACTCCTCACCATCATTACCGACCTCCTTCACCGACCCCTTTTACCGACCATCATTACCGACCTCCACTGCGGCTTACTGCTAATCACCAGTATTCCTATTCTGGGGAGCTTCGGCTCCCCAGAGTCTCACTTACTTTTGTATTTTACCTTTTCACTCTACTATGTATAATAAACGTGTATATAGGACGCGGCGTGTTACTTATACACACACACACACACACACACACACACACACGCACCTACCCACGGGGTACTCACTAGTATAAATAAAATAACAATTAGGGTCGCGATACTGAGAGTGTTTTAAGAAACTTCGCAGCAGTCTTACTTGTCCCAGGAATCCACTGGCTTGTGCAATATAGCATGCTCAGGTCGAATATCAGATAGCCTATCCATCCAAGAGCACAATCAGTGCCCAAAATAGCCCTGTTGGCCAAACATGTATTATATGTGTGTACACTGTTGGCCTAGTTGTAAAATAAATTACTTAAAAAATCACTTCCGTTGCAGTGATACACAAGCAATCTCGCAAAACACGTAAAGTCTGAGCCAGTAGATGTACTGAACAATCTCCGGTATACAAACACGAAGTGTTGAAGTGGTAAAATGAAGAACCCACAAAAAGTGGTTGTAAAAATCAACTTCTTGGAGGTAACTGTCACCAAAACTTCTTCCTCCGCAATCTTCATGAGGTGCAGAAGCTCGCGGAAAATCGAATGTCAAATCACTCACTCGCTGACAAAGCTAGTTGCTTAGAAGGCTTCCTCTTTCGAAGATTGCTTAGAAGCAAAACT